TTATTAATAAATTCTTTCTTTATTCTAGTAGAAAAATGACCATCCGAGTCAGTTAATCTCTTCTAAACAAAAAAAAAGATATCTTCATATTTTCTAGTAAATAACGAAAATCATATTGAAGAATAAACTCGATGCCAATATCGACATTCCATTTTGTTCAATTTTCTGAAACAACTTCAATTCAGTTTTCATCAATTTTTACTCCTTCATCTCTAAGAACAAGTATTGATTCGCGATCTCCATTCATCACCTGCTGAAAAAGATAAATGTTGATGAATTTAATACAAGTACATGGGGTACTACAAAAGTTTTTTCGCCCAGCCCTCTTAAAAGACTTAGCCAAGAACTAACTATACCACTGTAATGCCTAAACATATTTAGGGTTATGTGCAAAATTTCAGACTTTGAAGTCTTGTGCTTTGTTATAGTTTATCATTTCTTTTTGTATCTGTGATGTAGATTACACAGTTGCAATTTGTTTATCAGTTTTTCATCTTTTAATAGTTGTATCATATAAACACACTAGATTACAAGATGCAGCGTGTGAAGCTCTACAATTTACACAAGAGCACTTCTTTTTATAGTTGCATGTTTCGCTTTCAAAATGGATAAAATTTTTATTTACCACATTCCGATCATACAGCAATTATATTTTTTTTTTCACAGAATACGCTACTATTTTTCTTCTTTCATCTTTTTACCACCTAATATCTTTTTGTAAATAAAAATAAAATATGTGGCAAGATGCAGCATGAAAAGCTGTACAATCTGCATAGCCGATAAAAACATCAAACAAGAAAAAAAGAACTTTCTGGTTCGTATTATTTTTTCGCAACGTCGAAATTTGGTCACTGAAAACTTTGTCCATTTTGAAAGCAAAACATGCAACTATCAAAAAAGTAATCCTATGCAAATTGTAAAGCTTCACACGCTGCATCATGTAATGTGTTTTGTTTTACTAATACAACTTATTAAAGGATTAAAAATTGATACATAAAACCTTATCATTAAACCCATTATGTGTTATATTGGGAATCACGTATACCTGTACAAAGGAAACGGTAGGCTACAACAAAGCACAAGACTTCGAAGTCTGAAATTTTGCGCATAATTCTAAATATGTATGGACATTATAGCGGTATAGTTAGTTCTTGGTCAAGTCTTTTAAGAGAGCCGGGCGAAGAAACTTTTGTAGTGCCCTATGTATTAATGCAATATCTTCATCAACAAATTGTTTCATTCACATTAAATACACTCGTTTTTCATATAAATCTTGTTCGGAATCAATACAATTATTAAAATCAACTCGAAAATCATCACTTTCATTACCTGTTAAAATACGTTTCGTTGACATAACATAAAAACGAGAACAAAAAAGAAAGAAACATCAAATCATCATCGTCAGAAGAATAAGAATTTGAATATCAAGAACAAATATTTGAATATTTATCGGTAAATATATGTTTAACATATTATTGATTACATTGTATTATATATTGATTTTATTATTAGAATACATCTTCACTCATATATTATCAAGTTAATTTTCATCTATAAGATGAACTCCTCCCCCCCCCCCTCTTTCAAAAAAATGCTTGTTCATCAATAATCAGAAATATCTCAAGATGAAATTGCTCCATTTTATCATCAAACAATTGATTTATTACGATAAATGAATCTCATTGTGTTTTAACACTTTTTTTTGTAACTAATTTGCTTTAAATAACAACATATCACATACAATTACAGTATTAATTAAATTTAGACAGGATTCGTTTTTAATTAGACACAAAACTATGAAATAATTTTTTTTTTATATATAAAATAAATTCTAATTTTCGTTTGTATTAAGGAAATATAGAACGTATCTGCGTTTTTTTTTGTTATTAGACAGAGCATTCATTTTCGCTTATTCATATTGTAATGTAGCATCATATATTTATATTTTACATATCATTTATGAATTATGTTGAATTCGAAGATAAATAAACATCGATAAAAAAATACTCCTCAAAAAGCAGAAACTTAAAGATTTTCTCTTTCTTTTTTGGTCGAATCTTGTTAAAATAGAGTTAATTTCAATAGATAACACTAGTAAATTCTGTAACTTCCTAAATGTAACTAGACTTCAATTAAAATTGGACGTAAATTAATATATCAGTTCTTTATTTTCATTTTATTCAATTTTTTAGTTTTGTCTAAATTTCAACATTACCTGGCATAGATTTATAAATACTTACAAAAAAATAAATCTATCATTTGTCTCAAATTATATTCAAAGAAGATAAATCTTTCGGTGATAATCTTAGCAATTGCTATTTAGTTTTCTTGTAGCAACGTATGGCAATGATGATGATAATGGCGATGGGAACGATGGTATACCTTATTATAATAAGAACGATTGCAGCTCGATACAGGTCCCATTTGCAATATGTCGTCGAATTCGTAGGATCACTACCTTGTACACCTTTAGCCCTGGCACCAAAAGTCCAAACATTTCCAGCCACAAACCAAGCAATAAAGAAGAGATGGAGAACAACTATGATAATAATAAGAATAAAAAAGGTTAGACGTACGCCCATTTTTTTATCATGTATATCAATAAAGTAGGCATTAATCATAGCTAAAATAATGATCAATGCCAAGAAAAGTGATCCAGCTCCGTGAACAATCAAAAACGTTATAATCATGGGTTCAATGGGACATTGATTGTTATATCTGACACCATGACCGATTTCCACACCACCAACGATTAACTCTATGATAATCATAATAAGGTGTAGTTTTGATTTATAAAACTTGACTATTGTATCGAAAATTTTGGTGTTCTGGTCATTGGAGGATACTGCTTTAGGAACATTATTCTGTGTATAGTAAGCTTCATTCATGTTGAGACGATGCCAATCGATTTAAATCAAATGAATAGAGTTTTCAATATATAGATAAGAAGAAGTTGTAGAGAATCGTGTATTTTTATATGTAACAGTTCTCTCCAAAATAGAATTTATTGGAAATAGTCGGGCAAACTCTACAAATAACAACCTCTCTTGTATGACGTCATTTCTGATTGAGTTCAGTTGAAGCCAAGAAATTGACTAAAGAGAGAGAATATGCATGTTTTTTTTTGTTAAAAATGCACGGTATATTGTTTGTTTGAGGCAACAAGTTCGGTTCTTCTTATAATCATAAAAGAGAGAGCAAATGAAGAACATTGAGAAAAAGAAAAGCAATCAAAAGAATAAAAAAAAATACTGTGTGTTGTGTGTGTGTGTGTGTAGGAGGAGAAGCATAGAGAGTATATGAACTGGTCGGCTAATGGCATGATCGGTGAAAAATCGATTTGTGACACGACGAAACGTCAACGAGGCCAAGTATTTATTTAGCTTTGTTTCCCGTACAATTTATTCAGTTATAGCTTGCTTAAATTCATTAAAACATTTTTTATTATATTGGTTAGTATTGCAAAAATGCACTGTAATGATGTGCAAAACATAAAAAGTTCGTCCAAGATTTTTTTTTCTGCGGGCTTGCGGATTTGATTTGTTTATATTGCGTATTGAATGTAGTTGTTTATTTGACATAGAATAGTTTCTTAGATGTAGATATTTCTCAATGGTTTTCTGAAACTGAAATTATAATTCTAAATGAATGATGGGAACTTTGGTTCATTTCTAGTCACTTAAGCTCTTTCAAAAGAGAAATCCGCTGAGATAGTAGTAGAAATAGTATCCCGACATGAACAATTACATGGATCAATACGTAACGGACAGATAAATCCATTAAACATAGAAGGAACTGATAGAAAAAAGAAATGTGCAAGTATTAATGATGAGTTAATGGAAAGCAGATAAGATATTTCTGTGTTTGGTTGAAATTGATATCGACAGGCAATGTTCATTTCGCAAGAAAGTGAGACTTGTAAGAGTGTAAACTGCCGAGGAAATCAGTTTTCTTTTCTGAGCAGCGTACTGCGTACAATGATCGATGAGACGAGTAGTAATGATGAGTTCACATGTCTGTACGGAATAGTTCAACCATCGTTGTGTCTAGATGATAATTAGCAATCATTTTGAGATGACTTTGTTTTTTTCATGACAATTTTGATGATTTTAGAGTCTAACCTACAGATATAAGTAATCGGATAGGTTTTTTTTTATTACTTTTTATTTAAGGTTTCTTGAGAAACGAACGAAAAAACAGAAAGAAAAACAAACCTGCGTCATATAAATCATGTACATCCGTGTGGGGTTTCACACTTTGCCAACGAACTTCGAACGAGATGCATTGTCAAGAAGAACGAAAAGAAAGGGCACGAACAACTAACTCTGATGAATCAATAAAAGCTATAAGTGAATATGAAATTGAATTACACCTTCAGTATATAAAATAGAAGAATTCCTATCACAGTGATAAATGTGCGACACGTATACCAGTTGATAATCTAAGTAAATTTATTTGTCCTATTTCTGTACAGTTGTTTGATGTTCAAGTAGTACCTTTCATCAAGTCTCTCACTGTTGATTAAACGAATTTGCCTATGAATGGCAACAGAACTTGTAATTACGCTGCCAAAAGGGTTAGAAGATATCAATAGCTCTTGAATATGTTGATCTATTTGAGAAAATTCATGTAGTCTTCTTATACCTACGCGAGAGAAATGTTGAATGCGGTGAATTTTTAAAAATGAAGGCTAGATTCGAACTTTGACCTAGGGTCGTTCTGCGTGCCAACATTAGGCATCGAACACTTTTACGATCAAACTCTTGTAACTTTTTCATGAATTCCATTGCAAGAATTGGAACTTGGAGACTGAGGGTGGAGTATTTTTGTAGTTGAACTGGTCAGTTAGTCGAAATTCTTAACACAAAATTGGAGCAATCTATCATTTGTTACTCACTTTTGTATATTTTTTTTATATATATTATTCATCTCGAAGAGTGATTTGAATATCGCTTCAGTTCACCTTTTGCAGTTATCTATCCTGAACAAGCGGATAAGTTATGGCTGGCAGCAATAGTGTCGAAGCTCTCAAAGGGACTTGGGACTATGTATGTGAATAATTTTCTATCTGGATTGCATTCAGTTCTGTCATTAGGTCAAAGATGAAAATATGGACGCATTTATGAAGGAAATTGGTGTTGGAATGGCAGCTCGTATGATGGCTAAAGGTATCAAACCCCGTCTTGTTATCAGTGAGAATGGTGGCAAGTGGACATTACGATCGGAGAGCACACTCAAAACGAACACGATCGAATTTACACCGGACGTTGAATTCGATGACAAAACGGCTGATGGACGTGAAATCAAGGTCAATCTTGTTATATATATGATTGTTGTTTTCTTCTACACGATTGATTCATCTGACATTTTAGACAATTGTTCGATTCAAGAATGGAACATGGGAACATACGACACGTGATAAACATGGCAAAGAATGGATAGCGACTCGCTATATAAACGATCAAGGTCAACAACAACTTGTACGTTATCTTATGTTGTGTTAAGTGATCAAGGTTTGCTTCCTTTCTTTCTATAGGACATAACGTGCGGATCAGTGAAAGCTCATCGATGGTTCAAACGGGTCGAGTAGCCAATGACAACTATAACTAAAATTCGAATTAATTCAAATCCTTACTTCTTTTTCGTTTATGCGTATTCGATTTTTTTCCATGTTCGCAAAAGATGAACAGATGTTTATCGAATTTTATCTTTTCATGGCTTGCATTTTTGTACTCGTAGATTTTTTTTTTTAGATATGTGTGTATCTATCATTAATAAAGAAAGAAAACGAACTCGACCTATCGAAGCGTGAAGTAATCACCTTTTTTTTTATTTTGTGTCTTTGATATCTTAAAAGAATGAAGTCGAATAACACGCTGAAGTTTTCAGAAGATACCTCAAAAACATGGACACTAATCATACGAAAATTGAATAAATTAGAATGTCATTTTGTTCGATATTGCAAACAAGTCTTTTATTCATGTTATCAAG